AATCTGGCTAACAAGGGTGATTAAATCTAAAGATCGGTTAGCTCATATCACATCAAACCGTTCAAATTATTATTATTGTTATACTTTGTTCTCAAATGATTCATGTTAACAACATCAGCATTGGTGACTATGAGTATAGTGTGCATTAGTGTGTAGATTTCAATTTCTGCACAGTGTAATCTAATTGATGCTCAAATATTGATTTCGGATCATTTTTAACCAAAAAAAGTTACGGACTGCAGCTTTAAATAAACGAATAGATAAAAAGATAAATAAATGAGCGAGATGTCATTGACCCACATATTACAAGCACTGAGACATGTTAAAACTGCATTAAATCCATTTGTGTAATTAGCAGATGCTTTTATCCAGAGCGTTTCAAGGTACATGTTTTATCGGCATGTGTGAAAATCAAATCCACAACCTTGATGTATCATGCTCATACCAGTTGAGCTACAGGAACATTATACATTAAATGCTGGCTGAGCAACCACAGTGTTTACCAATGCCCTGATGCTCTCAGGATACATGTAACATAAATAGCTATGAATTAACATATCAAAGCACTGTACATTATGGCTGATGTGGACATTTTAACATGCCAGTGTGTTAAACAAACAGCAATCAGTCAAGTAGGCTGATTACATACACATTCACAAGCAAACATGCCCAACCGCACGAACTAAACCTGCTCTACACTCTCAATATCTGCAGTCACCTGCAGTATCGACCACTAACTCTGCCATCTATTTCAGATCACAGCCTCTGCTGCTAATAATTCAAGCCTCGCAGTGGAGCATCCAGCTCTGATTAATGGACCCTTTTCACAAGACTGTGATGACGCGTTTAACGGTCATCAGCATCATAAATCCTCAAAAGTTTTTCATATTTGTATTTTTAAAAAAATGTATGTACATTTATAACACTATTCTTTGTATTATATCACCTTTGCATCAAATTACAAAAAAACTGTTAACGCTAATGCGAGGGTGTTTCTAATGCAGCATCTATGGGAGGGACGGTAAATTTGACACCGTTCTCTCTTCTGACAGCCGTTATCAGTCTCTCTCAATTTTTTTCCTTTTATTGAAAGTCATGAAAACACTATCGTGGAGTTTTTCTTTTGCTATTTGAGCAAATGGGAATGCAAAAAACATATTTGTGGTGCTCTCCCATTCACTGCTATTCAAGTTAACCCAACTATGACGCTGCTGAGAAACCTGGAAATGTGAAAAAGGTCCATAGCTGATAAATCAGTTGCTTGGGGTGTCATGTGCATATGTGAATATCCATGTATGTGCAAGAACCAACCAGAACCAGAATCAGCACTAGACCTGCTAGAATCCTCCCTTCCCCCTCATCTCCCATCCAGCCCAGCAGGGGGAAGCAGCCCTGTGTGTGTGTGTGTGTGTGTGTGTGTGTGTGGTAGTCAGAGAGATAGAGAGAGAGAAGGGATGGAGAACAGACCATGAACATGCAGTGAAGTGCCAACCTCTTACACTAAACCATTCATCATGTCCACATCCCGCTCAGATTGTATCTGCTCAGAAGCTCTCACAGCACACTGAGTCTAAAGCAACTCATCCAGTAGTCTAAACAAGGACCATCAGGACAAAATCTGTGCTTTTCAAGAGCTCCAAAGCACTAATATTGGCCAACTGGTAGTACACATAAAATGATACCCTGAATGTCTTCTGACATTTGTCTCAATCATTTCAGAAGTGAGGAGGGCAGACTGTTCACAGTAGGAGTGGTTTTTCTGCCCACTGACCAAGGTTTGTAATTTGTAATTTTGTAATTGTCTTAAAGGAATAGTTCACCAAAAAAGTAACTGCATAATCCATGTTAACACTATTTAAAGGGTTACTCCACCCCAAAATAAATTTTTTTGTCATTAATCACTTACCCCCATGTCGTTTCAAACCCGTAAAAGCTTCATTCGTCTTCGGAACACAATTTAAGATATTTTGGATGAAAACCGGGAGGCTTGTGACTGTCCCATTGACTGCCAAGTAAATAACACTGTCAAGGTCCAGAAAAGTATGAAAGACATCGTCAGAATAGTCCATCTGCCATCAGTGGTTCAACCGTAACGTTACGAAGGGACGAGAATACTTTTTTTCCACAAAGAAAAATTAATATTTAATATTAATATTTTTATTCATGTACAAAGTATGGTTCAGTACTTTTAAAAATAAATGCACTATTTTAATTTTCGTTAAGTATCCATTTTTAAAACTATCGGTTGATTAATCGGTATCGGCCAGTGTGGTCCAACCTAGCTATCGGTAACAGTAAAATCCACTGTCGGTCGACCTCTAATTGACAGTGACCTGTCTGTGGATTTTTCTTTATTCTGTGTTTTGAAAAGTTTTCAGAAACTCAGATGCTTGAGAAAAATCTATATGCTTTGGACTTGTTGATGACACTCACAATTTATCTTCATGTTTTATTTGAAAATCCTATTTGCACTTCAACACTCACCACTTTCTCTTTGGAGCGCAGCACACCCAGTTTTCCAAAGCGCACATGGAAAGGGGAGCACTGGTAGGTGCCGTCCTTCTGCCGGACCACCACCACATCAATGCAGCCTGAGAGCGTGGCCTGGTTAATGCCCTTATAAAGCTCCTTCATGGTCACCAGCACCTGACCTGCCAACTGCCCCACGTAATTCATGGTGCCCACCTAAAATGAGGAATAGATAGCAAAACAAACTTAACCTTAAGACATCAGTAAACACAGCAAATCTTTCCCAATACTGTATATGTGCATTGCAAATGTGGCACGATCTCCCCTTTCCTCATAGTAAAAGCGAAATTCTTAGTTCTTTTAGGCTGCCTGCCTTTTTTAAAACTGTTATCAGCAGACCTGCAGACGGCTAAATGCTGTTTCACAAGTGGTCTGAATGTGCTCCAACACCATGGTCAAATACGTGAGCAAAGAGAACAAATTAATAACAAACAAGGACACAGGATGAACAAAAAATAATATATATTTTTATGTTTCCTGGCATACTTTGAATGTAAAGATCAATGCACATTTCTGTGGAATTGCTGGCATTATTCTAGTACCTGTTTAAAAAGTATAAAAGACCACAGCAGGATCTAGCTGCAAAAGCGGTTGCAAATTTAAGAAAACTGACTTACATGTTTATCTATGTTAGCAAATTATAAAAAAAACATCAAGTCTAAACTTAAAGGGATACTCCACCCCAAAATGAAAATGTTGTCATTAATCTCTTACCCCCATGTCGTTCCAAACCCGTAAAAGCTTCGTTCGTCTTCGGAACACAATTTAAGATATTTTGGATGAAAACCGGGAGGCTTGTGACTGTCCCATTGACTGCCAAGTAAATAACACTGTCAAGGTCCAGAAAAGTATGAAAGACATCGTCAGAATAGTCCATCTGCCATCAGTGGTTCAATCTGAATTTTATGAAGCGACGAGAATACTTTTTGTACGCAAAGAAAACAAAAAATAACAACTTTATTCAACAATTCGTCTCCATAATAATAATGTAATAATAATAATAATAATAAATTATTATTCATTATTGTTGTTATTATTATAACTATTATAATTATAATATTAATAAATAATATTATACTAATAAATATCTAATATTTATTTTTGATTATTATCATACAATTTGATTCCATTTGCTATATTTTATAATATTGCTTTTGCTGCTGATTAATACAAGCAATAAACCTCTCAAGGCTGTGCATTACAGTAGGCATCACCAATAATTTGTATGAAATGTATCATTCTATATGACAGGAAATCTATTTTAAATGTGTTTAAAAAACAAAAAAACAAAAAAAAACAATGTGTGGAGGAGTTGGTCCATCCTCCACCAATGGATTTTACAATAGTACATCATAATGAATGGATAAACACTACTTATCTGTAGAAAATTCACAATTCACAATTCACAAAAAACAATTGTTGTATATAAAAAAGGCTTATTTACTGTATAAGCACTTGATAAAGTAGATACAAGGATCTTGAATGCTCTGATTCTGCTAACATTTCAAAAATATTTGATTAAATTCACCATATGGAAACTTTGCAAATAAGTGGCCATATGGGATGTATGTGGCAGATGTGAGAAGACCAATCATAGAAACTCAAAGAAATCTGCACGTCAGGAACATCCGTGAAATGACAGAGAGCAGCGCATCTTATGCACGCACAAGACAACACAGATCACTTGTGTTATTTATAGGATACTGTGCAATGAGTTCTCATGATTTACAGACTCAGAAGACAGGAGGATATTGTGCTCGTCTTTCAAAGGAAGTCGGTGCATTTCAGAAGTATGTCAGACCTAAAGCCACAGCTCACCTCCGGGGCTCCTGGGATAGTCTCAGTCTAGCACAGCAGAGCAAGACGAAAAAAGGAAAGACACTGATGGAGAGGATAGGAGAGAGAGACAAGTAAGAAAGAAACAGAGTGACTGTGTTTCTGGCCAACAAACTGCTCAATAGTGTTTAAGACCTGGCCCTGCTCTCCAAAGAATAAGCCTCTCTTTTAATAACAGGCTCTCTGGAAATAAAATTCTGAGTGGCTTATCATTCCTACTCATCTGACTCCATGAGACAGCCAATAAAGTAGAGTTTACATTGTAAACTCACCCACACATTGATCCAAACCTGTATGACTTTCTATCTTCTGTGGAACATAAAAGGTTTTTGCTGAAAAAGTGATTCATACTTTTCCACGACATTCTAATTTATTGAGATGCACCTGTATATGACTATATTTTAAGTCCTCTGAAGTCATATGTCAGGTTTTTGTGAGGAACGCTATTCTCTGAAAGTCTTGACATCTGCACTAGATCTATTTGAAAGTTCATTCGAGAACTAGCAATGACAGATTCTTCTTCTGAGTCCTATCTTTTTAATGAATTAGTTGTTTAAGTTTTGAATCTGACCGATTCTGTTCTCAAATTCAACTTACTGAGTTTCTTGTCTGTTTGGAGAGGAAGATTATCCATGAATAAGGACTTTTGAAGCTTTAAATCTCAAGTTCTCACTCATTGTAATTGCAGAACAAAGTGACCAGCCAGATTTGTGAACCAGATCAATTGGTTCACTGAAAAGAACCGACTCAAAAGAACACAAATCAGATTGGTTTGATTCTCGATTTTGGATCACTAACTCAAAAATGACAAATTTTGGTTTGTTGTAAACAAAAATTGTATAGCTTCACATTTTATGGTTCTTTTTTTTATCCTTTTTGGAGCATGGTCACTATAATCTGCTGCTGTATATAAAAAAGCTGTGTGAAGGATCTTCAAAATTATTCTGTATGTGTTTCATAGAAGATAAAAAAATCAACAGGTTTGGAACAACATGAGAGTAAGTAAAAAATGACAGAAATTTAGTGTTTTCATTTTTGGTGAACTGTTCCTTTGAGAAATTATGCAGTGCATTTTTTTTTACAGAGAAATTGCTGACAGTACAATACTGAACAATGATGTAATCTGCAGAATTTACACTTCAATTATGAGACTACAGTGTTCCCCATACATTGAGTGCGGGTGTTTTTATATCACTGCATTTCTGAAGGAAACCGATTGTCTTCAGAAAATTGGATGCCATTTTCATTTAATCTTGCATGTAATGTCCAAGCGGCAACCTCCCGCTCTCTCTCGTGATGCCAACAAGGAAGTGACTTAAACTGTAATTCATCGACTGGCCGCTAGAGGCTGGCTGCAAAAGGGAGTCAATCCGCCCATTTTCGATTAGCTGGGAGTGACGCGCGGTGACGCGCTGCCAAGATGGCGACGGCCAACTCCACCTACTTTAGGCTTCAAAAACCTCTTCAGGAACCTACGGGTGACGTCACGGACACTACGTCCATGTTTTTATACAGTCTATGGTAATGTCTTTTTGAGCGGAGCGCTGCTTTGTGTACAGCCGTTACCGTAGAAACCTTGATCTCTACCACTCCACAGAGTGTGACACAGAGAATGAGTTTGCATATATATATGCCGCCTGGGAAACACTCGACTATGGAATAAATAAATTCAACTGTATAACAGTTTCACTGCAATTCATGTTATAATGTTAGAATTAAATAACAATAAAAATAATACATATGCACTTATCTGTACATAGTAAATGCAGTTATTTTTAAGCGGTTGTTGACATCCTTTCTAAAACGTGATTTAGCCAAAAAAAAACAAAAAAAAAACCACCAAGCATGAGAGCATGTTCTAGTACACCCCCAAAACAAATTCAAGACATTGTAAAAGAGCATAATAGGACCCCTTTAAACAATTCCACTGGCACTTAATTTAATTTCACAAATTATCAAATGGAAATGTGTATTAGCGTGAGTGGGTGTGTTTTATTGTCTTACCCCTGTCGGTATCGTAGAGAAAGACGAATCGATTCCAGTCGTAGTGGTCTAGCAGGCTGAGAAGGGCCCCTCGTATGGAGGGCCGCAGCTGTAAGACGAACTGACTCTCGCCCTCGGTGGGGAAACTGGGCGTGATGAGGGAGATGTGCAGCGCGCCGCAGAAGGACGTTAGCGTGTGAACCGACCTCTTGTCGTACAGGCCAAAAATGGCGAAAACGCCCCGCGAGTACTGCGAACAGACTGCAAAACACAACAACACAGAGGAAGAGAGAGAGTTAGAAGCTTAAAACATTAATTACATAAAACCTGAGGGAGTGCTGAACATTTACTTCACTTTAGAACAGTAGCTTACGTTAGTGTTACGTTAGGGCTTTTCCGTAGGTGTTTGAAATATTAATGAAACAGCCTGGGAAACTCTTCCACCATCTGAATAAGTATTTATTCTCTACATGATTTCTAATAGCAGGTCAACTTATTTTTGTAGCTTTTAATGTTACATAAGAATGGCTAATTTACCAAATACAAAAGTCATCATTTAAAACGTCAATTTTTTAAATTTTTTAAAAAATGTCATGTTAATAAAAATGACACCCATAAAACACTGATTATATTAATAAAAAACAATAAAACTATTATTTTAATGTTATGGCTGATAACAAATGAATGGTCAATAATAAAATTTAATTTTTATATAAATAAAATCACAAAATTTTATATGTGAATATTTTAAAAGTGACTTCAAAGTAAAATCCAACATTTTAAATGCTAGAAGTAATTTAGGCATCAAAAGCACTGATATAAAGTATGAAAAAGTGATTTTTGAGATTACTTTTAACATTGTTATTAAATTACTTCATTTTATTTTTTATAAGAATACCTTTAAGGAAGCAGTAATGACCTCTAATATCTAAATACAAATATATCTTATATCTAAATGTAAAAATATGGGTAAGCGTTAAGGACATGTAGTTAATTTAAAAATAATCTTAAAAGTACTAAAAAATAAACTTCTGCAATACTGGTTGATGACCTATGAGGTACGTACACACAATACTGTTTTTACTGTTTTAAGTTTGGGGTCGGTAAGATTTTTTTTTTTTTTAAGAAATGAATACTTTTATTCAGAAAGTATGCATGAAATTAGTCAAAAGTGACAGTGAAGACATAATTTTACAAAAGATTTATATCGCAAATAAATTATGTTCTTTTAAACTTTCTATTCATCAGAAAATCCTGAAAAAAAATCAAATTGGTTAATATTTATATGAATAAAAAACAACTTTCTTTGTAAAACTGTAACAACATGTCACAATATTACTATTTCACTGTATGTTTGATGAAATGCAGTTTAAATGATCATAAGAGACTTAGCAATCTCATATACTGTATATACAGTATAATATATATATAAGCTAACGGAACCATGCTAAACAGCTCAAACTTGTCCTCTTGATTTAACATTGGAAATAGGCTACAGGGTGCTTGCTTTCTAAATGGGCTTTCCACAAAAAAACTGAAGAAAGAAAATGGAAAATTGGATCAGTTCTATGTGGACTTGCTCATTATTGAGTCAGAGCTGCATCTGTAAGTGCCAGCAGTTTCCAATATACACTTTATATGGTGTATGATAATGAGCTCCACGTTGCTTCTCCCTGTGTTTTTGCAATTCTGAGAAACTTCAGTGGCTGCTGAGGCAACGTCTGATCTACTGCCTCAGTCTGAAGTGAGTAGTTAAGCAGGCCCGTCTCTGAAAATGTCTCTCATGTTTGACAGTCTTGCAGTTATTGTCAGTTTTCTCCTTTTCATATTTCTTTCTTGCAGCAAGTCTGACTTCTCAGCTTTGAAGCTTAACTGCGACAACGCTAATGGAAAAACCACCTGGCTTTGATGATTTTAGTTTTCCCATTTCTGTTCCGAACAAACAGCCAAAAAGACAGCGGCAAGTCAAAACTACGCAATGTACGCTCACGGCAACGAGGGCATTATTGTCATCGTACACAAGTAGGCTCCTTTAATCGATGGTATCGTAATTACATATCGCTGAACGCACAGCATCTGAAGTGCTTTGTCGTAGTTAGTTATTTTTGTATGATTCTGATTGGCACTAGCATGTTTCCGAAAGTAATTGTGGATTATTAGCAGGATTTCATTGTGCCGTAAGTATAGGCTCTTTGATCATGGATGTGCTAAAAGCACTATCTCCATGACCGCACACAGACTACATCTGCTTCGGATTGGGGGAAGGGAACGGAAAGACACCTGGATCTGACAGTGGGAAGCATCATTCCCACAGAGAAGCAGAGGCTAGTCACACACACACTTCAATATACAGAGCCAAACCAAGAATATACTGTTTCCAAACCTTTTTTGTCTCATGTACAGCCTCGTTATTAAAACTCAAAAACAGTAATGTGTTCATACTATACATGATTTAATTCAGTATCCTCAACAATATTATTAGGTAGGACCTTTTAAAGAACAATAACAAATTCATACAGTAGCATATACACTACAGTTCAAAGTTTGGGATTTTTAAAATATTTTTGACAGATATCTTTTATGCTCACAGAGGCTGCATTTATTTGATCGAAAACACAGTAAAAACACGGAATATTGTGAAATATTATTACAATTTAAAAGAACTGTATTCTATTTTAATATATTTTAAAATGTAAATTATTTTTGTGATGGCAAAGCTGAATGTTCAGCAGCCATTACACCAGTCTTTAGTTTCTTGACATTTCTCATGTTAAAAGCAGCTGAGAGGAAATAAAAGTATAAAATCTTTTTTTTAACATTATGAATGACTTTACTGCCACTTTTGATCAATTTAATGCATCCTTGCTGAATAAAAGTATTGATTTCTTTGAAAAACACATGACCACGTTTGAACAGTAGTGCATAATTTATTTTTCTATCTCAATATTTGTTGTTGTTGTTTAAAAGGTCCTATTTAATAATAATGTTGATGCCACAAGTACCATACACACAAATTTTAAAACACATTCCATACACTATTGTTTTCTTTCATCAAAAACAACAGAAAGATAATTCAATTAATATGATTATTTTAACATATTATCATTTAGTTTTAAATCATAGTTAAATATATTCTTCTTCTTATGAATTTCCCTGCGATACACATACCTCTGGTTGGGAATCACTGCTAGTGTTTGCTCTTATTATATTTGCACACCAGCAGAAACCACACACACAGTCAGCTCACACACCGTCATGCCCTTCAACATCTGCACTCCACTTAAACAATTTTGTCTGAGACCTGCATACCAAGTCACAACGCTATAGGCTAGATGTTTATCCAATCAGGGAGAGAAATAAGATTGCGGCAGATTTTTCACACTGCAGTCGCTCGCTCTGTTCCACCTGATTTGCACAGTTAACCCTCTTTTGAATGCTGCTGAGTACATTCTCTCACAGCGCATGCCATTCCACATATCCCAAATGAATATCTGCCACAAAAATGAGCACAAAGAGAACAGTATTGTCTGAACTTCCCCAATTTTACTCTCAGTTTCCTGTCATCCCAATCCACACAGCTCTAGGACACAGAAAATCATATCCCAGCACGCACAACACTGAATATAAGTATAAAACAAGCTGATCATATTTCTGTAATGAAATGCATTTGCCAATATATAATAGAAATGTCTAGTGTTATTGTTTAAAAAGTCTTATTTTGACTATTATAAATACTGTGATGAAGTATGGTATACTGTCAAACTACTAAAAGACAGTTAGTCATCAACACGTTGTTATGAACTGTTCATAGCGTCTTTCTCTCAAACGAATGCTTGTCGACCGATCATGACATGAGCGTGTATAAAACAATGCGAAACCACTGACAGTTGCTGTACTGAATTGCTATATAAACACACATATTTAAAAACCTGCTTATTTCTATTGGTACAATACATACAGGGCCTAATGACTAATTACTCTGGGTTTGCTGGAAAATGACAATGACAACACTGATTATATTAATTATACAGTATATTAAAATCCTGGCCAATACAATAACCCAGTAATTCATTTCATGTTCTGACTGATAACTGAAAGATAGGCAAAATAAGAATAAAATTTCATTTTAAATGCTAAAAGTGAATTTTTACATAAAAACATTAGATATAAAGTATGAAAATTGGACATTCATTTTTGCTAAAGATCACATTTAACAGTGTTTTTAAATATTAACTTTAAAGGGATAGTTCACCCAAAAATGATAATTCTGTCATTAATTACTCACCCTCATGTCATTTTAAACCTGTAACACCTTTGTTCATCTTCGGAACACATATTAAGGTATTTTTGATGAAATCCGAGAGCTTTCTGACCCTCCATAGACAGCAATGCAACTACCATAATCAAGTCACAGAAAGGTAGTAAGGACATCGTTAAAAAGTCCATGTGACATCAGTGGTTTAACCTTAAATGGTTAGTTCACCCAGAAATGAAAATTCTGTCATTAATTACTCAGCTCAGTTGTTCCAAATCCGTAAGACCTTCATTCATCTTCGGAACACAAATTAAGATATTTTTGATGCATTCTGAGAGCTCTCTGATCCTCCCATAGACAGCAATGTAATTAACATGATCAAGGTCCAGAAACGTATCAAGGACATCGGTAAAATAATCCATGTGACATCGTATCGCTACGTTTCTGGACCTTGATCATGTTAATTACATTGCTGTCTATGGGAGGGTCAGAGCACTCTCAGAATTCATCAAAAATATTTTAAAGGGGTCATATGATGCGATTTCAATTTTTCCTTTCTCTTTGGAGTGTTAAAAGGTCTTGGTTCATAAAGAAGATCTGTAAAGTTGCAAAGACTAAAGTCTCAAATCCAAAGAGATATTCTTTATAAAAGTTAAGAGTCAGCCACGCCTATCTAAAACGGCTCGTTCTAACACGCCCCCACATGTCACTGTGGACGAAGCGGAGTCCAGCCCGGGGTCGTCACATGTGGTTGCCACAAGCCCGCCGGACGCTCCTTCATCAAATCCGCCGTTCGCGCCGTTCTCAAGCCCGACGCCTCTGCTCACTCTAGCCCCCGGCCTCTGCTCACTCTAGGCCGCC